TGCCCTGGAACACAACCCATGTGCACACACATTTCCCAACACATGAACATGTGTGCACACATGCACCCTACGGAACACACATGCACACGTGCCCTGGAACATGACTCATGTGCACACACACCCCAGCACACAACATGTGTGCATACACAGCCCAGCACAGGAAGACACGTGCACACATGTTCTGAAACACAACCCCTGTGCACTCACACCCCAACACGACACATGCACACATGAACCCTACAGAACACACATGCACGTGTACTCCAGCACATAGACACACGTGCACCCCAGCATAGGAACATGTGTGCACAGGCACCCTGACACATGTGCACACACGGGAAYACACACCCTGGTACATGGTATGTGCACACACCCCCACACAACATACATGCACACACACCCCAGCACACGGATACATGTGCACACCCACAAAACACATCCTAGCACACACGTGTTTGCATGCACACCGCAGCACACGTGTGTGCACAGAGCTCTGGGGCACAGRCCCTACATGCATGTGCTGCAGCGCTACTCGCTGCAATGTGTGCACCCTCTCCTGCRTGCACCCTTGCACGCAGGCACCCCGGCATGTGCGTGCCCCCGCACACTTGCGCCCTCCTGCACACGTGCAGCTCACACGTGTGTATCCCTGCGTGAACCAGCCCTGCACGTGTGCACACCCACATGCATGCACTCAGACATACATGTGCCTGCCCCTGCACGTGTCTCCTCACACACCTGCCCGCCCCAGCAGCTGGAGCTGCCTCTGCACACACATGTGCACACGGATACACATAGACACACACATGCAGACATGCAAGCACCTAGATACACACATACAGACACATGTGTAGACATATGTGCACATGGATATACATACAGACACACACATATGCAGACATGCAAGCACCTAGATACACATATGCACAGACACACATGTACACATGGATACACATACAGACACACACATATGCAGACATGCAAGCACCTAGATACACACATGCAGACACATGTGTAGACACGTGTGCACATGGATACACATAGACACACACATGTGCAGACATGCAAGCACCTAGATACACACACGCACAGACACATGTAGACACATGTGCACATGGATGCAGACACATGCACACATGTGCAGACACATGCACATACACATGTGCAGACACATGCATACACACAGGCACACATACATACATGGATACCCACATGCAAACACACATGTACACAGACACACACGCCAGGCCCCGCTGCAGCTCCCCACTCACCCCGCATCGTGTCCCCGCAGCGGGCACAGGGCAGGGCGCAGGCCCTGCCGGGTGCCCCCCGGGCTGGGGGCTGCTCCCCGCGCTGCCCCCGCGGCCCCTCGGCCACGGCGACGGCTCCGGGCGCTGGCTCTGAGAGCGGAGGGTGCCGGGCAGCGCCCRGCAGGACCCCGCGCGGCGCAGAGCGGGGTGGAGCACGGTGCCATATCCGGCCCGCGCGCCGGCCTCGCACCTCGAGGTGAGAAAACGCCCTGGGGCTGGAGCCGCCGCGGCGCCCGCCCTGCGCGCCCATCCGGGCGGGAGCACCGGCCCCCGGGTCCCGCTGCACCCCGGGGCCAGGAGGGACGGGCACCGGTACCCACCCCCGGGTCCCGCTGCACCCCGGGGCCAGGCAGGACGGGCACCGGTACCCACCCCCGGGTGCCGCTGCACCCCGGGGCCAGGCGGGACGGGCACCGGTACCCACCCCCGGGTCCCGCTGCACCCAGGGCCAGGCAGGACGGGCACCGGTACCCACCCCCGGGTCCCGCTGCACCCCGGGGCCAGGAGGGACAGGCACCGGTACCCACCCCCGGGTGCCGCTGCACCCCGGGGCCAGGCGGGACGGGCACCAGTACCCACCCCCGGGTCCCGCTGCACCCCGGGCCAGGGAAACAGGCACCGATACCCACCCCCAGGTCCCGCTGCACCCCAGGGCCGGGGGGGCCGGGCAGCAGCACCAGCGCCCAGGCCCTGCTAAAGCCCGGGGGCAGTAGGGGGTGGCAGGGGTACCAGGGCAGCTTTCCTCCGGCCCAGACCCCCTTGGTGCCCATTAGCTCCCTGCCCAGCGCCAGGGCGGCCCCCAGCCCAGCCCAGCTCTGCCCTGGAGCCGGTCCCTGCACGAGGAGCTCCGGGTGCCCGGGGTGCTCCGGGGCCGCTGCCTCCACGGAGGAGGCTGGCAAGAGGCGGCAGCTCCATAAGAGGGGGCAGAAGCAGCTGAAGGCGGGCACGAGGCCGGGGTGGGTTTCTTTACTAAAATGGTGTGCGAGTACAGCCGCCAAGGACAGGGCTAGAGGAGAGCGCACCGCAAGAGCGCCGCAGAGCCCGCGAGGAGGCGGCCGYGCGGCGCGACGGCAGCCCGGCCTCGCGCTGTGCAAAGTTAAAAGCAACGCTGCAGGCTCCGCTCCRCTTCACTTCAGCACCGGGGAGGCAAAGAAGTGGCCTTGGCGGCTGAGCTGGGTGGCGGAGCTGCTTTTGCTCCCAAATCTAGTTCAAGAGAAGCAGAAGTTACCAGGGAGAAAGCGCAGGGCAGCTTTTTGCGGCCCGGTCTGCTCTCCTGGGCCTGCGCCCACCCGGCCCCCCACGCCTCCCCCGGCCCCACTTACTTGGGGGTGGTTCTGCCGAAGGTGGAGCGGACCCTCTGGGACAGGGAGCTGGACGAGGGCGTCTTGGAGAGCTGGTGCTCGGGGGTGGTGAGGGGGCCCAGGATGCTCACTGTGGGGACAGGCGTGAGCGAGGGGGCACCGAGCCCTGCCCCACGGCTGGGGCGGGCTGGCACCTCCTGCCCCGCTGCGCTTCCTCCGAGCGCCGCCAGGAAGGGCGGATTTCCCCTTCGGAGGCAGCGCTAATTGAAGGCCATTTATTGCAGCAAGAGGCAGCTGGTACCTTTGAAGTCGGGCGTCTGGGGAGCGGAGAAGGCGGCCGTGTTCTCGATGACGTTCTCCTGCTCCGCCACCATGAACTGGCTCCAGTACTCCAGGGGCAGCAGCAGCAGCCGCTCCACCACCTGCGGCGACGGCAGGGCTCGGGCAGCGAGGGACGGGCGCAGCCCCGGGGCCCTGGGCCGAGTTATTAACAGGGATGTTGTGCCCAGGTCCCGCCATCCTACCTTGGGCTGCCGCTTCGTGTCCTGCAGGATCGTCAGCGGGTCGGGGTCGGGCACYGCGTGGGCGACGATTGTGGGGCCAAAGACTTTGGCCAAGTTGGCAATGTCCATTTTGGTCTCGGGGCTCTGAGCCACTCTGGATGAGAGGGGCAGGAGGTCGTTCTTTCTTTTTACACRAACACCCCCCCAGCCTGCCCAGTTSAGGGCAGGCAGGTCCAGAACACAAACCAGTAACTGTCACCTCCCYGAGGAGGCACTGGTGACCACCTGCACTCACCTCTGCAGATGGATCATGAGGAAAGCCAGAGTGTCCCTGTTGGCCTGCGGGAGCTCCCCGATCGCTTGGTACATAGCGGCAATGCTGTTGTCATCATCAGAGATTTCTGAAAGAAAAGGAAAAAAAAACAGAGTAGATGAAGGTAGTGGCAGGGGCACAACTGGCACAGTGCCCTGCACTGGCCGCAGGACCAAGGAACACRGCAGCCCAGCACAGGCCCTTCCAACAGCTCCATAGCCCTAGAACTTGCCTCCTTCCTCTTCGCAACAGCCGCCCTGGCCCCAGTCACTGATTTATTACCTAACGGTTAACGCTTTGAGGCTCCTGCTGCCCCCACGCGCTGCTCCCCGTAGTCTTTGGGGGTCGCACAGGACTGTGCCAGCCTCTGGCCTGCTGCGCGGGTGTTGTGCGAGGGGGCTGCCGAGCCGTGGGAACACGGCAGCTCCCAGCACAGAAGGGGAGCTGAGGGCAGCACCAGGAGCGCCTCGCGGGGCAGCTGTCGCGGGTTTGTGGAGGGAGCAACTCAACACCTAGAGCTACGTGGTCCCTTGAAGCAGCGCGGCAGGAGCGAGGCCTTTCTAGCACGCACCTCATCACGAGGGCGGCCGTGAGCAAGAGGGCAACGGAGCAGCGAGCGCCCTGGGCTGTCAGAGGAGCCCGTGACCACCGAGCCCAGCGGTAGAGATGCCCTTTGGCCTCGCTCCTCCTCACCTGCAGCTTCCATAAAGGTCTTGTTTAAGCGGAAGGTGAGCAAGGGTTCCTTCAGGTTGCGCAGGAAGTCCTTCAGAAGGCCGCAGATGGCGTGGATGTCGTCCACTTTGCTGAGCAAAGGCACGCTCTTGGCCCTCAGGAACTTCTCCTTCAGCTCCTTCACGGTCTTGTCGCAGCCAGACACGCGGTAGAGGCCCGTCTGCGACACAAGCAGCGCTGCTTGGAGCAGAGCATTGACAGCAGCAGGAGGCCTCTGCTCCGCAACGCTCGGCGCGGGCAGCGCTGCCCAGCCAGCGCCGAGCACGCTGCGCRCTCCGTAAATAAGGAGTCCGGGGGTTAATTTGTTTCCCTGACACCACCACCCTTCCATTAGCACCGCGTCACTCCTCATCCTGCTTTTACCTCACGCAGCCCTCGCTGTTCAATCTCATTAACGCAGTGCACTATGATGGAAGGGATCATTGGATGAGTAGTAGGGACAAAGTCCATCAAGGTCCCCTAGGAGGCAGAAGGGAGGAGAAAATAAAATTGATATTTAGCCTTCAAGACACAGAAAACGCTCTCCCAGGAATTCACCCTGGCATCTCGGCTCAGGAATCCCTGCTTCTTCTTCACAAGCCAGGAAGGGAGAAGCACTTAACAGCCATTAGCCCGGTGCAGCAGTGCCTGCCCAGAGCCGCTGCTCACCCCGCTCAACACCCTCCTGCACAAGGCGCCCACTTCCCCCAAGCAAATCCTTGCTTTTCAAGGATACTTTTACAAGGTCATTTGTGGATTTACTACGTGGCTCCGAGCAACGGGAGCTCTCCCGCAGGAAGCTGGGAGCTCAGGCGTGCTCTAGCCAGACGCCAGGCAGGCGTTTCGCTGCCACAACTGCCCTGTTCCGAGCTCGCCGGGGCCTCACCTCCCCGATCCGGACGGGAGTGCCTGCCAAGATGGGGATGCAGGGAAGGGGACAGCGGTCCCGACACTCCGGGTGAGTCACCACGCGGCAGTCTCTGCATTTTAGAGACAGTTTTCCAAACTTGATCCGCTTTCCGCAGGGAACACACGATTCTGGTTTGATAACCTAGCAATACAGAGACCAGGAAGAGATTAATGCAGCACAGCCGCTCCGGAGGAAGCGGAGAGCTGGGCAGGATAACACACTCCCTGATCCAGGCAGGTTACAGTCAATATGGACTCGGACATTATCAGGCGCCAACCCCTGGTTCAGGAGCCCCGTTTGGGGGAATCTTGCTCATTAAGTCTGTTTCCAGCCATCACAGCCTCACTTCCCGGGAGCTGGGTTGGGAACTGCATGCTCCAGCGGGCTGGGGCATCCCTCAGGGGCAGCCAGACCTCCCCAGCGGCAGGACCGGGTCTCACAGGGTAGACACACGCACGTGCCAGGACCCAAACTGCAACTGTGGCCTCCCACAAGCTCACAGGAGGGCCRGGATATTGCCCACGCTCCGGGTCTGTATCCGACAGAGCCTTTGATTAATCAACAAGCAAGGCTGATGGGAGGCGATTGTGTCCCCGCTCTCCAGCTCCTCCTGCCCGCAGACCTACCGTTTTTGAGACGAACTCGTGCAGCCTCACGCCGCCCGTGCCCTGCGGAGTGCTGGAGCCATCGCTCTCCGACTTGGCCTGCAGCTGCCTGCTGCCCAAGCTGGAGTTGCTGCTCCAAGGCTGGAGGGTATCTGGAAGAGATGGACACCTTCGGAACAGAATCACTCCCCTGGGGAACCTTTGCTTCCAAGAAAAGACCCTATAATTTAAAAGCAGCTGCCTAAGGAGCAGCAAAAGTTCCTGTAATATTGCAGATTATCTCACGGCCCTCTCACCAGCTGCTCTAGAGCTGGGACAAGCGGCAAACGGGGCACCTACCCTTCCTCTGGTTCCTGAGGTTGTAAGGCACCGTCTGGATAGTGGAGACGGCTTCAATGGGGCCACCATCACTGGGGACGGTGAGAGTCGTCTTTGCCACTATGGACTCATTTCCCTGCAACCAGGAGCCCGCAGTTAGTGCCAGCGACACGTACGATGGCGGGACAAGGATTTTCCTACTTGTTGGTCCTGGAAAGGGGCAAGCAAGAGGACCAAGGGTTTGAGCCCACCRTACCTGCTCCACCGTGGAGCCAATTGATCGTGTTTTCTTCAGGGGTCCGGGGGGGCCTTCAATGAACTGCCGGGAGGAGCGCTGAAAAGATGCRGCATTTTTGTCAACGGGACAGGCGCGTTATCAGTTTAGCACTAAACTCTGCTGCTGCGAGGACCGAACGTTGYTGTAACTCCTGCCCTTCCTCACCCACCCCTATCGTGATCCGTTACACCACTCTCAGTGGGCAAGTGCCATTGAGTGTGAACAGAAAGAGAGTATGATAATTCCCCCCCAAATCTGGTAGCGGCTAATTGTCTTGAAGCACTTGCTTGCCAGCTGCGAGCCAAACCAGAACAAGACACTTAGACCTCCACCGCAGTCGCTTTCAGCAGATGAGCGAGATCAGAATGAACTCTGAACCTAAACCCCCGCAGCTGCTCCATTTGAAGCTGCCTTGCCCTTAGCAGCTCAGGAGCCGACACAGGGGCTGTTAGATGACAGATGGTGACGCTGCGGCACCCAAGGCGAACAATGGAAGCCGTCTGAAGGCAAGGACTGAACATACCCGCTTTTCTCTCTTCTTCAGCCTCACCGATTTCACCACAGAGGAGTCCCAGTCCTGTGGGAAAGGCACAGCACTGTTTAGCTCAAGGTAAATATCACACAGCCTCTGACCAAGGCTTTCATTGTGTTTTAGCCAGCAGCACTCCAAAGAAATGCAGATCAGCAACATCAGCTTAATCCCAGAGTGCTCTAAACACCACTTCCCCGGAGATTACCCACACCCTTCAGGTTTTCTAGTTGAGAAAAAACTTCAGARCGTGGTGGCGTTACATTACCAGTGACTCATCAGTCTTGTCAAAGCTGATGTCTGACAAAATTGAGCCAGATTCATCAATTGTAGACAGCCTAAAAGGAGGGAGAAAAAGATAGCAAATAAAAATCAAAGTTAAAAGAAACACGTATCAGTGAGGCTTTCAGGAAGCTGTGGTTCCAGAACAATCTTACYGACTCATAAGAGCCCTATTTCAAAGTGGAATAGGGAGTGAAGCGCTGCTCATAGGAGCGCAGCGTCAGCAGGATCGCAGCTGTCCAAGAGCTGGAGGGCTGTTACTCGCGACAAGACGCTCCCCTGCCTACCTCTTGTTCCCYGAGCTCCCTGCGGAGACCTGGGGCCTGTTCAGGAAGGCGAGCGCAGACTTCTGCTCCTCGCTGAGCTGGATGCTGCCGGTCACATCACACATGAGCAGATCTCGGATCAGCTGCATTTGGCGCTCCTGTGGAGGCAGGTGGGATCAGAAGCTGCCACGGTGCAGACTCCCATTCAAYTTAACTTACTGTTTGAACTCATCTCGAGTGCGCGAGACACTGAGCTGATAGCCCTTCCCAGGGGAGCGTTAATGGCCCAAAGCGACAGCAGCCTGCGCTCAGGAACCAGCAGCTCCGCCGCAAACAGCGGCCGCTGGCCCTTTTTCCAGGTCAAAGGAAAAGGCCACTACAGAGAGCCAAGCCGGATTAAAAAAAAGTTCTTATGAGCAGCAGCCCTTTTCTCCAGGGCAGTGCAAATTAACCACTAGCTCTCGGCAGCCTAATGAGCCAGCTGGTAATAAAGAATCCCTCACCAGCTTCTCGCAGTCCACTTCAGCCTTTTGCCTCCGCTTGATCTCCACGTCCACTTGGTTGCGGGCGTGTTTCAGCTTCACCTCCAACGCGTTGCGCTCCGTTTCCGTCTTCATTAGGAGATCCTTGTACTTGGCAAGCTCATGCTCCGTTTTCTGGGATTTTTTCCGAAACTCTTCAAAGTTCCTCGCTAACTGAGCGAATTCTGGGGAGAAAACAGCTCGGTCTTTAGCAAACAGAGCAGACTCCGCAGCCCTGCTCGCCGAGAGCTGATATCTAGTGACGTATCCCATCCTGGATAGGGAAAGTGGGCGAGCTGGCCTGTCAAACACTAGTGAACTAGTGCTCGCTTGTAGCTGTCCACCTGGGTGGACACCTAGAGCGCAGACGTTCAACCAAGAGCACAGACCGAGCCCTTCATCAACCAGGAGGGCTGGGACACACGAGACCCTGCAGGAAATCAGGGAGCAGAGCACGGCCCTGCCCAAAAGTTCAGCCCAAAGCCCTATATTTGGGGACAACAGGAGGAAAAAAGCAAGCCCCCACACAGATGCAGCTGCCCCCAGCTTCAGCCAGGGCTCTGCAGCAGCAGCCACCGCTGCTCGGGTATTTATAGGCTCACAGCAGATACTCGTTGTGTATTTACAGGCTCACTTACGATACTCGTTCCGTTCACTCAGGACGTCGACCTGGCACACGAGCTGGTCAAACAGATTCCGCAGATTCAGCACCGAGGTCTCCATCTTCGCCTGCCAAGGAAGGAGATCTAAACAACCAGCCCAACCCTTGCTCACCCCCTTCGAGCAGAGCTTCGCATCCCAAGGATGAGCCAGCTTTAGAACTAACAAACAAAAAACCAAGTTTTGGCAGATACACAAACACAGGAGCTATGTTTTAATCAAGATATAGCCAAACTCACGCGTATAGAAGAGAACAGCAATATAAAGACACAGCCTAGCTCACAGTTTCATTGCTTCAAATAACCTGCAGTAAATTACAGGGGCTCAGCCCCCCGAGACGATTTCCTTTCTGGAAGGCTGCAGAACACAACTCACACCCGGGCTACGAGCAACTTGGCACTATGTAGGCCACTAAAACCCRCAAGGTTTTGGAGCATCCTAAGATAAAAATAGGTGCAACATTCTGGGGAGTTCTAATACAGTTTTAAATTTAGCTGCACGCCAAGTTGCGGCTCCCAGAGCAAACAGCGTTTGAAATTCAGGGCAGTCAGCATGTTTTCCTCCAGCATGGGAGGCAATGGAGGGAGAAGGCCTCGGGAAGGATTTTTCCCGAGCAAGAGGCGGCCGGGGCGCACGGGGGGCTGGATAACAGGGGCTTTGGAGGCACAGGGCAAGGCATAAGGAGCAGGAGGGCACCGGGGGAGCCCCGAGGGGTCCCGAGGCCCTCACGTACCGCTCACCTTGCGGGGGCTCCGGGATGGGGCTGCGCCCCGGGCCCTGCTGCCCACCCGCCCGCATGAACCGCCCGGGCGGCTCCCCGAGGCCGCGGCTCCGAGMSSGGCGGYTCCGAGCGCGGCGGCTCCCCGAGCCCGGCGGCTCCGAGCGCGGCGGCTCCCCGAGCCCGGCGGCTCCGAGGCCTCCCCCTCAGCCGCTCACCTGAGGCGCCGACCCGGCGCGCGCTCCCGCCAGACGCAACCGCCCGGCGCAACCGCCCCGCACTCGGGTTTGAATCCCCGCGGCCGGCCAATCACAGGCCGCTGCCCCACCCTCTCGGCCGTCTATTGGCTCTGCGCGCAGCCGGCCCGAAGGCGGGCCGCCGCCATGTCTGCTGAGGGCACGGTCTCCTCCGCTCCCTSCCCTCGCGCGAGGGCGGACAGCGCCCCAACGGCCGCGTGGTGAAGACGCTCCGGCGCCATCTTTACTTCGGSCCCCCGGCCTGCGTTGCTTGGCAACGGAGCAGGTGGGGGATGCTGAAAGGCCCCAGATTACCCCAAAATCGTGTCCCCTCCTCTCCCCGTCTTTGTTGGCTTCTTTGGGGCTTGTCCCCAAGCCCCGGCCCAGGCCCAGAAGTCAATAACYCCCATACAATATGTGGGAGGTGATGGGCCCCTTCCAGCCCTCCAAAGCTCCCCAAGCGCCTCTCAGATATTAAAAACCATCATTTTTCCCAAATTACCTTCRCTTCTAATCAAATGCACTGGCTGTGGGTCTTGAGTCCTCTCAGCCGGGCCATCAACAAGCACAAAACACCGCAACAATGACGCACAAATTTCGGCCCTCAAGGAGGAGAGAAATTTATGGATCTGACTTCCTGGAATAGGAGGAAAACCTCCATTTTCCGTCCATTCCCATTCACAAAACACAAAACCTTCCAGGAACCTATTCACACGCAGCTGAGGCCCCTTATTAAGTGCTCCCACTTCGGAAAAATGCCACTGCCAGCAATTTTTCCTTGAAATTTTTGTTTTGGACAGCTGCCCAGCTGCAAAAAAAAATAACATTTCAGGTGTTTTGCAGCTCTTCCCCTCGTGGACATTTGCTCTTTCCCAGCCCTGAACGAGGCCGTTTCGGGGAGCCGAATCGTGTCCACAAGGCAGGTTAATCTCCAAAATCGGAGGCGAAACGGCGGGTAATTGAGGAACGGAGATTAGCAATTAGAGAGCGGAACTAAACRCTCCAAATCGCGGAGCGGGAGCGGGCGCTCGCTGGCCGGAGCAGCTCCGCGTGGGTTGTGCCGCCTGCCCATAGCAAATTAATAGCAATTAATTCACCACCGATGGTAAAAAGCCTCCAAAGAGCATGCAGGGATGAGGCTTCCTGGTAGAAATGGCCAAAATTACGTGTATTTGGCCCATTTTTGGAGTGTTTTGTGTTGCCCCCCTTGTTGACACRGTGGTGGTCGCCTCTATTTTTGGGTGGCCACCCCCTGCCATGCAGTGACCCGGGGAGATATGTTTTCAACCCAAATTTTGTCCCTTAGGTCAAGGCTGAGAGCGGGAGAAGCCTCGGAATGTGTCCTTTGTGAAACCGCTAATAGAATTTATGCTAATTCCCCGATTCCGGCGATTCCTGGCGGAAGCAGTGGGGCCGCGCAGGCAGCAGGGATGCTCCTCGYTTTCCTCCCACTGCCTCCATCTTCCTCCTTGCATCTTCCTCCCCGCCATCCATCTTGATCCCGTCCGTCCCTTACACCGGAGACGCTCCGCGCCGGAGCCGGAGAGCGGGAGCTTCCACAGGGAATTGAGCCTGGGACAGCACAATGGGGAATCGCAACCCCCTCAGTGCAGCTTCATGCTCAGGGAGGGGGGAAAATCCTTTTCTTTTAACATCCTTTAATYCCAAACCCGAGTTCTCCAGCCGTAAGGCAGCCGTTTTGGGGACTGTTCCCTGCAAAACTTCAAGACAGAGGGGGAAACAGGAAAGCAGGAGAGATTTTTTGGGTGCTTTTTCTGCCCGTGGGCTCGGAGATGCGGAGATGCTGGAGCGAGAGGAAGCTCCGGCAGCCCYGGGAGGTGGGAAGCGGGAAGCGGGAAGCGGTGGGATCGCTGGCACCGGTGCCGGCAGGTGGCATCACGCTCTTGCCTTTGGGCGACAGCCGCTCCGGGCGCTCCGAGCATCCTGGATTATCCCTGCTCCTCCGGCTCCGGAGCAGAGAGCCGGCTCCGGGAGGCCCTTGGATTCTCCTRTGGAGCCCCCGAGCTCCTTCCCAAACAACAGGAGTCTTTCTGGTGCTTTCCACTGGCTTTTAATGCCTGATCAATGACCTTTTGTGGCGGGAGCACGGGGACAAAGGAGCTTTGTGGGCAGATATTTGGGATCTCAGTGAAGCCGGAGCCTCCGCTCTGGGAGGAGACTGCAAAACAGGAGCCCCAGGGATGTTTTCCGCCTTAAATTCAAGGGGGGATATCCATTTTTTTTCATCAACACAGTTGTCGTCTCCCAAATACTCGAGAAGCCGCCGGGGTTTTTGCGAAGTTCTTGCCCAAACCCCTGGGCTTCCTCAGATGAAAGGGAAGAATCGGCATTTCCCTCATTCCCCCCAAAACAAGCAGCCCCCAGGGTCTGGCCAGCTGGATCCGGGGATCCTTCCACCCCCGATAAATATTCGGCGGATTAAGCGGCTGGGAGCGCGGAGCACGCCCCCCCCGCTCCCTTTGCCATACAAAACGGAGAAAATTAATCTCCCGGCTCGCTCTGATATTGGGGCTGAATTACAGGCTGGGAGCGGAGATAAAGCGGGCGCGCGCGCGCGGGCAGCCGGCGCCGATAAGGGCCCGCGCGCCGCTCCGCGCCGCGGCCGCCCGCATCCCGCTAACCCCTCCGCTCGCTCCAGCCCGCGGGCGCTGCCCCTCGCACCCCGCTTCCCCATGGCTTCCCCGGGGCTGGTTTTCCGGAGCCGTTCGGACCGGGAGCGCCCGGGATGGGGATGGCGTGCGCCGCCGCTTGCTCTCCGCAGGGACGAGCGCCAGGAGGCTGCGGGTGATCGGGGTTATTTGTAGCGCTTCCCATGACATTTCCTTACGGATTTAGGAGCGATAGCGATCAAGCCACCCTCAAAGCGGGGAATCCGGAGCCRGCGCCGCTGCGGCACGTTAGCGGATGGGCGGATGTAGGTGCCCCCGCGCCGGCTGGGGAAGATTGATGGATATCGTGAATTAAGTGGATTTTTGCTTTACRAAGTCGCCAGGAGGCTGGGGGGGAAGGCTGATCCGGGCGCTGCTTCCCGCCCAGCGCAATCCCTGCYGGAGCAGCGCGGCGGAGCCGGGAAGGCCGCAGAGCAGCGGCGCGATCCTGGCGTCGCTTTGATGCCTTTGCCGGCTGCTCCCGCCGGCGCCGTGCGGAGCCGGCACCGTTAACCCTCCCGCTGCCGCGCGCTGCTGCGTGCGGGAAGCGCCGGGAACGGCGCGGGATGGGCCCCGGCCCCCGGGAGCGGCTTTGGAGCCGGGGGCATCGCCTGGAGACAGTAGCCGAGGGAACTTCGGCCGCGGGGCCACCCGTGAAACGATCTCGTCGGGTCTCTGCCCTGTGTTTTGTTTCTCTCAACYGTCGGATCCCCAGATCCACAGCCAACGGCCTTGGATCGCATCCATCCTGGACAAGCAGGATGCAGGATCCCACAAGCGAGGCCCTCTTGGCAGCGGCGTTGCATGGGATTCGCGGTGCGGGGCCATGCGGAAAGCAGAGCCGGGGGAAATATTCCAGGGGGCAAACGTCCCGGCGAGCCCAAGGCCCCTTTGTGCCGAGCCCCGCAGCCCCGGCGTCCCTGAGCGCGCTCCGGCTGGTTTAAATAGAACCGGATCAAAATAAAAGATAATTGTTGAGGAAGATGAATAGGGGGGAGGAAAGAACCCCGTGAGCACRGAGGAACTCTTGTCTAATTCCTCACCCACGCAGAGCGCAGCGATATTAGTGCCTCCAACTCCGGCGCGGAAAAGCTTTCCTGGCTTCATTAACCGCTCCTTTATTACAGCTTGTCCTTTTAACAAGCGGAGGCCTCCGGAGAGCACATCTGCGCCCRGAGATCCCGTCGGGATCCCGTTGGGATGCGGCTAACCCGGCCAGGGGATGCCCTGYGCTTGCCTGGCCCCCGAGGCCCTTGCTCTGGGCTGGGAAGGGTTAAAAGCCCCCCGAGATGCCACCACCTTGCGCTTTGTCCCCAAATGGGGACCAGGAAAGCCAGGGGAGCCTGTGGGAGCTTCCTTGTGCCGGGGTATTTGGGGCACAAGTATTCGGGTGCTGCCSAAGCAACTTGGAATCGGGAAGTGGGAGTTGATGGCACTGCTTTTCCTTGGAATCCCTGTCCGGTGGGATGGGGTGGCGCGGAGGTGAGGGGCTCTGGGTTTCCCCCCGTCCCCTCCTTGAGCCTCTCCCTCCCCGTCATTCCCAGCCTCATCCCCCAGCCTCGTGCTGGGAGCAGAGCGAGTCCCGCAGAGGCCGCGGTGGGGACAYGGCCGGGCTGGTGGCTGGTGCTGGGACAACCCCGGCCCTCCCTCATCGCTCCTTGGAGCAACGCGTGGCTCCGCGTGCCGGGTGCCGAATCGCGGTGCCCGAGGCAGCACCTCCGGCAAAGCCGCCGCTTCGCGGGGCTGCCAGCCCGGACACCCCTCGGGAGCAGCTTCAGGACAAGTGCGGAGGCGAGCGGGGGCTGAGGTTGGTGCCCGTGCTCCCGCCGGCCCCGGTGCCGGCTGCTGGCAGCGGCGGCACGGGAACGGGAGCGGGAACGGGAGCGGGAACGGGAGCGGGAACGGGAGCGGGCCCGAGCGGCACGCGCACCCCCGCCTCATCCCCGTGCACCAGCAGCACCAGCCGCCGGCGCGCGCGGCTCCTCCGCCTCCCTCCCCCTCCTCCTCCTCCTCCTCCTCCTCCTCC